GAGAGAGAGAGAGTTATAAAATATTTGAAATCTAATTTGAGTTATAAAATATTTGCATCTTCTGGTGCAGCCGGAGGAAGACCGTCCTCCATTCAGCTCCCTGAGACCATCGGTGGCCTCCTCCACAGACATGCTCCACAGCAAACTGTCCCAGCTGAAGGAGTCCCGTGAGCACTTCCAGCAGGAGCAGTCGCACTCCCACAGCCCCACCCGCTCCTCCTCCCCCGCCTCCAACCTCGACGACCTCAAAAAGAGGCTGGAGAGGATAAAGAGCAACCGCCAGTAGATCAGCGCCTCACCTTCATTCTACGCTAATGCACTAGTTAGTCAGCCGACTTCCCAAACTCTACCATCCCAACGTTTTTCAGGGTAAACGCGTGCATAGATTACAGTTATGCAAAGTAGTATGAAAAAAATAAATAACTCGGTCTATACATTGTATAATATTAAGTAAACATTCTGTATGCTAGTATTGTGCACAGTTGTTTTTGTACATACAGTGGCTAATCACACCAGGCTTTTATGTGTCATTTAGGGTTTTCCGTGTACAGTTTTCCTGTGCAGAATGCTGTAATGTGTAACTGATGCTTGTTTTTTTTTTTAATAGACATTTTAGAGAAATCTGAATTTTAATGTCGCTTTCACTTGGTCTCAACTTCTATCTGTTCAACACCGTTTGCCTTTTTTTTTTTTCTCTCTATTCCAAGCATCTCTGAAGCTCTCATAACTTTTGAAGAATTGATTCCTTTCTTTTAAGGAGCATGGCATGAAGTACTGGATCTTTTTATGTAAATAAAGTTTGCATTACTAAAGGCTGTTAATTCCATTTTTCTTTTAATATTATTCCCAACATTTTGCACTCTGTAGTGAGATGTTGGTTATTGATGCATTTTGTATTATCCAACTGGGATTAGTGTTGGAAGTGTTGCTATTAAGTTTGTGTATAATCTATAGTAAAAATGGCAAAGGTGTGTTTTTTTATATATATATATATATATATATATATATATATATATATCTATACATTGATACTCTTCTGAATTTTTACTTCAAGGGGCTGAGTGTGTCAGTCTGCCATGCACAATACTACCACATTATAGATGTACTTAAATCCATATAGTAATAGTACTGTGTATTGTACAGCTCTAAAAAAAAAAAAAACATTTTTGTAACTCTGCAAACATAAGTCATCTTGTTACAAAAAAAATCCAATGCTGTTATTTTTTTACTTTATATTCAAAGAAGGGTTATTGTTAACTAAAAATTATTACCGAGACATTTCTCATTTTAGTTTGTTGAAGTACTAAAACTAGAACACGATAGTAAAAACAAAAATACTAAAAGTTACTGAAACTTTAAAACGGAAACAAAACGTTAATAGTTTAATTCTAGTTTAAAAATTCTAATTCAAAATGTTAACACAACTAACTGTTTATCAACTAACACTGCATCAAAAAACCTGAAACTAAGTCCGTTTCGGGCTGAGTGTGTCAGTCTGTGCCATGCACAATACCACATTATAGATGTACTTAAATCCATATAGTAATAGTACTGTGTATTGTACAGCTCTAAAAAAAAAAAAAACACATTTTTGTAACTCTGCAAACATAAGTCACCTTGTTACAAAAAAAATCCAATGCTGTTATTTTTTTACTTTATATTCAAAGAAGGGTTATTGTTAACTAAAAATTATTACCGAGACATTTCTCATTTTAGTTTGTTGAAGTACTAAAACTAGAACACGATAGTAAAAACAAAAATACTAAAAGTTACTGAAACTTCAAAACGGAAACAAAACGTTAATAGTTTAATTCTAGTTTAAAAATTCTAATTCAAAATGTTAACGCAACTAACTGTTTATCAACTAACACTGCATCAAAAAACCTGAAACTAAGTCCGTTTCGACAAAAATATTAGCACAACTAATTTAACTCATTTTCTGGAGCAACAAATCCGAATGATTTCTGAAGGTTCATGTGACACTGAAGTCACAGGAATAAATTACATATTAACATTTTAAGTTACAAATATATTTCACAGTACATTTTATTTATTTCTTGCCATTTTTAGCCTTTGTTTGCATAGGACCGTTAATTGACAGAAAGAGAAAGGAAGGGTGAGATTGGGAAAGGTCCACGAGCCGGGACTCAAACTCGGGACGCCAAAGTGCAACAGCGTTATATGTTGGCACACTGCCACCAGGCTATCGGTGCCAACAACATTACTATTATGTTTTTTACTGTATTTTTTAATCAAATAAATGCAGCTATGGTGAGCATAATTCTTTCAAAACAAAAATTATTTAAATCTTACAGAGCCCAAACTTAAAAGTAGTGTATACTTGTGGCATAGTCACTTTTTCACGTAGTTTATCAGATATTGTCTGTTTCTTGACCTTTATCAGAACAAAAAGAAACTATCGCAAATGATGCAGCGAAAAACTTTATTGAGGTCATATGTGACGGTCTGGGATCGGTGGAGTCGTACACTAGGATGCACTTGTCTTGTTACAACAAGTGGCTGGCCAACCTTGGATGTCTTTTTAGTTTCTCCTCCAGTGCCAGATACTTCTGAGGCGCTCTTTCCTTGTGTCTACAATGACAATATACAGATTTACTCATGTTTCTAAAACAAAATGTACCAACACGCTTGTTTACAAGGCAAAGATCTGCCCATACACTTCCAAAGCTTGGCTTTGTACCATCTTGAAAAACTTGATATTACAAAAACGTCATGTTGTCATAAGCGTATTATTCAGCAAATGATTTAAGGTGCGTACCGAATGAGTCTCATTTTGAGAACGTGGATCCTGAACATGGCATCAGAGCAGTAGGCCAGGTAATCGTCCTCGTCCTCATTGGACATAGTGAGATAGTTCTTCTGGTACCACAGCTGCTTCTTCTGCAACTCCTCTGTCTCCTGAACAAACAAGTTCACCAGTTCACTAGAAGCTTTTTTTCTGGCCCTCTTATCCAGGTCAAGTAACAACAAAATTATTTAAATCTTACAGAGCCCAAACTTAAAAGTAGTGTATACTTGTGGCATAGTCACTTTTTCACGTAGTTTATCAGATATTGTCTGTTTCTTGACCTTTATCAGAACAAAAAGAAACTATCGCAAATGATGCAGCGAAAAACTTTATTGAGGTCATGTGACAGTCTGGGATCGGTGGAGTCGTACACTAGGATGCACTTGTCTTGTTACAACAAGTGGCTGGCCAACCTTGGATGTCTTTTTAGTTTCTCCTCCAGTGCCAGATACTTCTGAGGCGCTCTTTCCTTGTGTCTACAACGACAATATACAGATTTACTCATGTTTCTAAAACAAAATGTACCAACACGCTTGTTTACAAGGCAAAGATCTGCCCATACACTTCCAAAGCTTGGCTTTGTACCATCTTGAAAAACTTGATATTACAAAAACGTCATGTTGTCATAAGCGTATTATTCAGCAAATGCTTTAAGGTGCGTACCGAATGAGTCTCATTTTGAGAACGTGGATCCTGAACATGGCATCAGAGCAGTAGGCCAGGTAATCGTCCTCGTCCTCATATAAATAAACATTTAATAATTATTATTTTAAATATTTAATAATCATTAAGTATTATTATTCAATACAACCATATAATTAGATATATATATAATATTTACATTTGGGTGAACTATCCATTTAACATGCGTTTAAATATCACTTTTAATGCATTTGTTAATATAAATTAAAATTGTTATATATATATATATATACACACACATTTTTTTGGTTGATATAAATGTACATGATCAACATGATGACAAGGTATGTTGGAACTGAAAACAGAAGCATCTGCAAAGATCTTACAATCGAGGTCTTTATAAGTGGTGAGTTTGGTCACCAGACCATCTTTTAAAAGATAAGGGGCAAACTTCTCCAGCTTGGCTTTCCTGTACTCAATAACCTTCATACCCCCTGGATAACGCATTTCCATATCTATTAAGATTTTAAAAAAAAACATGTATGATTAATTAACCTCAAGAGCTAGTAGATAATGGATGAAAGGCTATATGTGAGAGTGAGGACTTGACCTGCTGGTGAAATGTCTATTTTAGTCACCCAAGATGGAGGCATCTCAAACACTTTTAGCTCATCCATTTCCTCCTTCAGAAACAAAATAGGTAGTTATATCTAAGGTAATAGATACAGAGCATAAATATAAATATCAATATCAATATCAGGTTCAGTGTGGAACTTCAACAGTTAAATCAATAATGGCATTAAAACTATATGGAATATTAGAAACATTCTGTACTTCCTCCTCGTCTTCTGGCTCTTCAAGTGTCTTTGGGTCTGAAATGATTGACAGAGATTGGCCACACAGCACATACTCCCACTTTGACAGATCGCCCAGGTCAAAGGTCATCTCCTGCAGACACACAAAGACCCGGTGACATTTCCAATGCTCATCATCTTCACTGAAAATATTCAAACACATCCACATGAAGATATACTGACATTACAACCAAAAGTGCAATCTTGCTTGTTGACCCAGTAGTTTTGATGGTTCCAGACGCTCTCTATGCCCAGGAAGTTCTCATTGGTGGTGGAGTAGCTCTTGCTTGTCAGAGGGTCAATGAAGAAGTTCTCAGGTATCTCCCGGTTCCCTGAGAGCAGCAGAACCCAGCAGTGAACTCTCAAGCCCCGAAGAGGGTCGGGTGGTGGATGTTCTCGCTCCTGTTTAAGAGGAACCGGTAAAAATGCAAGTAAAAAATCAAACGGAATTTCATTGAAACATTCTTTATCCGACCTTCTGAAGTCTCTCTGCGTCCAGTTGTTTCTTCAGTGCGGCTGCTTCAGCTTCTGCTTGCTGTTTCTCCTCTTGACGCCTTTCAAAGTTGCTCTGCAAGTCGCGTGGGGGTTTTACAGAGTATTTCTTTATTGGCTTCTTTGGTTCCTCTATTTTATCCTGAGCAGGTCATGGAAAAATGAATAATGAATCCAGTTCAGATAGATTTCAACCACTCAAGGAAATTTGGATTTTAACAGATGCTATACAATTCTTTATAAAAGTTAAGAGTCAGCCACGCCCTCCTAAAACGGCTCGTTCTAACATGTCTACGTCATGATGTGGGAAGATTGGCATAACGCCGCCCAAATGTTCACACAAAGAAATTAGCCTTAACTTTTATTCTCGCTGTAGTGTTGTTGTTGCCGCCGCCATGACGTGAAGGCGCTGTGTGTTTCGTTGTGAAAGCAAAACTACTTTGTTTGGCCTTCCAAAAGAGGATGATATCCGCTTCGAGCGGAGTCCAGCCCGGGGGTGCTGGTCGTGGTTGTTCCTTACTCAAGCCCGCCGTGTGTGACGCTGTGTTTCTTCATGTTTTTTAATCATCGCTCCGGCCGGACAGGGCATCACAGTATGGTAAGGGCGTAATATTTCCGTCACAGGTTTGAGGTATTCGGCCAATCACAACGCACTGGATAGCTGGCCAATCACAGCACACCTCGCATTTCAGACCGATGAGCTTTGTAAAAATCGACGTGTTTCAGAAAGGCGGGGCATAGAGGAGAAACAATAATGTACAGTATGTGGAAAATAATGTGTTTTTTGAACCTTAAACCGCATAAACACCTTTCATTACACCAAATACACCAAATAATGTTCTTTTTAGCAACATCATAGGACCCCTTTAACAACAAAAACAAAAATTTAAAAAGCTAAAGTTCAGCTACACATTTCATTGTCCCACCCACATTAAAATAATGTAATCAAAGTAATGTACAAATATATGACTCACATCATAATTTTACATTAATAATGTTTATTTATTATTACAAAATTAACTACAAAAATAAATACATTTATTATAATTTATAAATAAAATATTTTCTAATTAATTTATATAATGTATAATTATTATAATCTTGTAATTTAGGCATAAAAAGCATGTAAATACATTAATATGATACTATTTGCATGTCATAGGCCAGGACTGAAATACGACTCTCAATATTTATTTATTTATAAACCAACCACCAATTTAGAACAACTTCTAAATTAATACATGTATTTAATTTATATATTTGCATTTTAAGCACCATAAAGTATAGAAAAGTATTATTATTATAATACTATTTACATGTCATAGGTCAGGCTTAAAAAATACTAATATTTATTTATTTATTACTTACTAAACTAACCACATAAATTATAGTCATTTCTAAATTAATAAATAATTTATATTAATTATAGCTTTGCCAGTTAAGCGTCATAAAGCATGTAAAAATATTACTATGATACTATTTGTATGTTATAGGTCAGGCTTAAAATGCAACTGTCAATTATATTTAATTTCCTACTCTATCTATACACCATAGGCTTCATGACATGAAAACCCTCGAAGACCCTTGTTAATTTGTATAAATTTGCATACCATAAAAGAACGTTAAACGTATTTTACATGCAATGTGAAATATTTGATTATTTTACCTCTATAATTTAAATCAAATGTGCGTAAGTTGTGCTTACTTGTATTTGAGGCTGCAGTAGGGGACACTCTTGGCGTGACTGATCAAGAAGACACATCTCTTTTGTAGCGTAGCCACTGACGCAGTAAGCATTGTATCCTGCGCCCAACAACAGACTACACAGCACGATGGAGAAATCAAAACATGTTCCTCTCTGAGTCTGCAGAACCCAGGATGGCGATGACAGCTGCTTGGGCTAGAAAGAACAGAAATTAAATAAAAACATGTTTTTGAGTCCAAGATGCAAAAACAACCATCATAAGTCAAGTCTGATTCTCTCACAAGTTCAAACGGTGGATCCAGAAGCTCCAACGCGAGATAATCAGCCACGAAACTGGCACATCCCCCCCAGTCGTACAGCTCAGAATACGGCAGCAAGGTGCTTCGCAAAGTGGTGCTTACAAATTTCTGTTGATATACATTGGAATAAGAAAATGTAATGGAAAAATCGAGGTAATGTTGCCATGTCTGGAAAGCGTATTTGCTGTATGCACCTGTACACCACACTCATTCACAGGGCACAGCAGAAGCGCTTTGTGATCAGGGTACAAAAGCGCATACTGCTGACGGAAGTTTTCTGCCATCGCTAGCATGAGCTTCTCCTGGGAGTTGTTCTCCTTGTATGAGGATGAACATTTGGAAAAGGCCACTTGAGGGCTTGGCTTTGCTCTGCAGAAATAAAGAATAAAGACCAACAAACAGAAATAAGATTATTTGTTTCTTTGTGTCTTTTAATCTGTTGTATTGTTGTATGTGACCCATGTTTTAATGTTTAAAGAACATTTTAACTGTTCAAATTATTTGCATTACCTGTATATATTCAAATAAAACTTTAAATAGGAAATCATTTGCATTGCAACATTATTTGATGTAACGTGATTTTTGTAATATGTTTATGGAAAAATCTCATTATAACTATCATAATATGATAAAACTATAAACTACTTAAAATACATGATTTTCTTAAAAATTTGTCAGAAGAATATTTCAGTTTGTCTGAAAGTCTGTTTCCAAGACCTGTGTTTTAATGTTTAATGAACAATAATTGTAACCTTTACTTGCATTACTTGCTTTAAGAATGTATATCTTCAAATATATTCAAACATTACATTAAATATTAAATAATGAATGAGTTTAGGAGCATTAAGATTTGTATTGCTGTGTTATTTTCATACTATTTGTAATTTGTAACTTCATATGAAAAAGTCACATTTTCATTAACATGATGCAATAAAAATAGATCATATTACATCATGATTTTAAACATGCTGGTTTATAAAGAGAAATAATAATAGTAATTGTAAAGAAGTGCAGACAGGGTGACTCACATTGCTGATTGCTGCATAATAAAAACTAAGAAAATAAGAATGAGATTGGTTATTTATTTATTTGATGCAAAACACAATTTCTTATTTGTTCCCCCTTTTAATTTCTGAAATATGACATGGGCCAGTGCTATTTTGGTATCACTGAGATACTATTATAGATTTTATTAATATTTTGAATAAGTTTGATATTTTTTTAAATTTATTAAAAAGGTACAGTATGTTGTGTTGCTGTGTAATTTTGTTGTGGTTTTGTCATTTTTATTAGTATTTGTTTATGTAGTTTTTATTCATTGTATTTCAGTTTTAGTTTAATTATTACCTTATTGAAAATGAGAAATGTTGCCTTGGCAAATAGCTGAAATAAAACAAGTTTAAGATTGATCAAATTTGACTTTATTTCAGTTATTGTGTTTTATTTTAGTTAAGGGATTTTTTTTTTTTTTTAATGATTTTAGTTTTAGTAAACTATAATAACCCTGACCTGGATATGTTCTTGACAGGCTTCATGAGATTCATTCTAGAGTCACAATATAGCACACTATATAATGAGGCCATGGTGGGTTTTAAGTACCCCCATCTCCGTGCACTAATGTACCCTATAGTTTTGTTAAAGTAAAGAGTTTAAGGTGTTTGGTGACATTAGTCTGCTACCCTACAAGTGCATGACCTGATATATCACCCATGTTTGTGGCTAATGATTAAGACCATTGTAAACATCCAGCATGTGCACGTGAGAGGAACTCCGATGGAGAAACGCTGAACATTGCTTTAACATGAGCCTTCATGAACACATGAGTTTACCACATGTTGATGAACTTTAGTAACCTCACATGTGTGTGACTGTAGGGGTTATTCGTATGTTAGACGGGCTGCTCTCCAGATCCCGCGCTCTCTCTTCATCATCCTCTTCATCATCTGTTATAGTAAAGTCCTCTTCACAGTCCACCTCCGGTAACACTTCCATCTAAAACAAGCCATGCACATACGAAAAATATTTAAACGACATACAGCAACAAGAAGCTATCTGACAGATGGTTAAAGCGACATACGCGGTTTTTATTTTGCGTTAAGGAAGATATCAGTGCATATGAGAACTTACAGTTTAACAAAGTGAATCCCTCTCTTCTCCGTTCGCCCTAAAATGTAATTTCTAAATCGAAATTTATAATAACCATTGGCAGTAAGGGAACCCTGTTACTTGTTTACGTCCCGCAATTTGGTTTCCATGGCGAGGGTTCGCTGACGTATCAATAAGGGGGTGGAGTCGACAATGTTCTCGTCTTCTCTAAAATAACGTTTTTTGTTTGTTTGTTTTTTATTATTATTATTTTGAATTCAATTCAATTAAAATGTTATATTTATAAATATAAGTAAGAATTATAAAACATACAAAGATTATAAAATTATTGTAAATCATATCAAAACTTTAGCTTATTTATTTAACTTACTAAAGTTTATTCTTATACTACTAAAGATCCTGCAGCAAAATGTATTTACTTATTTGACCTTTTCACTTTCTGATTTTTTCTTTTTGTTGTATGTGTAGTCTGCTTTTAATGTACTGCCAGATTGTACCTAGCTAACAAAACACTTTCTAAGAACGTTTGCTAACTGTGAGTTATGAAAACTTTTTTTATTTTTTTGGGGATGTTCTCTAAACGTTCATAGTTTTTTTAATGGTTTAAATTGGTTTTTCTTGCTTGCATGCAAACGTTTATAGAACATTCCATTTCATAATTGTGCAAACATAAATGCTACTTTTGAATGTTCTCTGAACGTTCTGAAATAAGTAGTGTCATTAAAAACGTTCCATGAATGGTGAATAAACAATGATTTTGTGCTAACGTTTTTAGAACATTATTATTAAAGACCAGGGGCAAGTTCAAGCTCAAACCGGTGCGCAACGTTTTGCTACGGTTTCCGGTTTGAACGACATGTTTCCTGGAAACGGTGTGCAACGGGGTTTGAGATACATTTTCTCTTGTTTGGTGGGTGTGTCAAACATGTCAGCCCAATCAGCAGCAACCACATGGAATTAAAGAGACAGCTCACACAACGTAATTAACATCAAAATAAATTCACAAGAGCAAGTACATCCTTTGCACATGTTTATTTACATTAAAGGCAAAATAACTAAAATAATAAGAGCACAAGAATAGAGCTGAACGCAGCCCTGATAACTTGAACATTCTATTGACGTTACTCGACGTTAGACAAAGTTCTGAAATTTTTTTTTATTTTTTTTACATATAATTTTATAAAAGTTATATATCCTTTATATAAAAATTACATAAAAATTTGCACATTTTTTACACATTTTGACGTGAAATAACACGTGTTTATATTTTCAACACACTCATGATGACATGACTTTGATCGACCCAAGTTCGTTTCACGCATGTTTACACCTAAACGTATTGTCACTGAAATATATCCTTATAATGTAATCACCACACACAGTAGGAACTCTCAGTGTTTACGGTCCGGCGACCTCCCGTTCTGATACATTCACCGCCCCCTCGCGACGCATCGTTGGACGACCGCATTAATAGATACGAACTGAAGCCGCTGGAATCAGAGGCGGACAGCCAACACAGACACAAACACAATGGGACATTCGCGTTCCTTCAGATGCATTGCATTTCTTCTGATTGCACTGCACCAGACCTCTGGATTCTGGTTATTTAACGTTATCTTCCCTCCGACGGCCAAACCTCGCGTCGTAAATAATAGCACTCCTCCTCTTATCATAGGTAAGCAATCTTACGTTCATAGTTTGGATATTTAAGTTGAGAGTTTGTTTAATGTGTTTTCTTTATTGGTTAATTAATTTAGCAGAAAAACATACAATTATTACATAAGGCAGGCTAGACAAGATTACAGATTGCCCTGTCATGCACTTTTAGACCAGTTAAAATACATATTATGTGTACAGATTGTTACAAGGTCTTTGACAACAAAATATGTATCTGGTTAAGTTAGAATTAGAATTGTACATTTTTGACACCTTTTCAACAGTACCTGGAAATCTGGGTAATCGCCTTGAGGCCAAAATAGACAAGCCCACACTGGTACACTGGATGTGTTACAAGAAAACCGAGGACTGGTTCCCTCTCTGGATTGACCTAAACATGTTTATGCCCATTGGAATTGACTGCTGGATTGATAATATAAGGTAAACTCACTTTGTAACATGATAAATTAGGTGACTTTACTGTAAGTAAAACTTTAATGCAGCCTTGCTGAATAAAAGTATTCATTTCTTTTAAAACAAATAACTGTGTGTATGTGCTTATATGTCACTACTTTTATGCTTGCAATATAGTAGTACTCCATTTTTAAACTTTTGTTTGTCTTATGTGTGCAAATTCACAGAGCAACCCTTTCTGATTTATTGACTGCTGTTTCCTAATCATCCTCAGTTCTGTATTTCAGGTCACCTTGACCTTTTGTCTGTTGTTTTTGGAGGGTTCTCAGAGACTGATGTCATAAGACAGGCCAGTGTATCATAATCAATATTTAGTAGCTCTCTGCTGTCCTAACTAGGTTAAGTTAAACAACGTTGAATCAGGTTATCAGAAGCTCTGATATATTTAAACAAAAGCCTCCCTGCTTTTGTAACCTTGAAAGAATGCAATTTCTTGTTTTTCGTGGACTCAGATTTTATATGATTGTTACATTTGTTTCTTTTGTGTAGAATTGTGTACAACAGGACAACTCGGAAGACGTCTAATGCGCCCGGGGTGCAAGTCAGGGTCCCTGGATTTGGACAGACGCACCCTATAGAGTTTCTTGACTTAAACAAGCTGACAGGTGAGTCTACAGTAACATTTCAATGAACTTCTTTCCTTACAACATCTGTATTTTTATTCTGATGTACATTTGTTTGTAGGTTACTTTCATACCATGGTTCAACATTTGGTCAGCATTGGATATGTGCGAAATGAGACTGTCCGTGGTGCTCCGTATGACTGGAGAATCGCTCCAAGTAAGTGAAATCACAGTGACGGGCAACAACAAATATTTCGCCATAGCGCACAAACAAATAGTTGACTGTACTCACTACATCAGGATTACTCAACAGTCAACAGAGTTCAACTCCAACTCAAATCAAATATACATGAGCATGAGAATCAAGGTCTTCAGGATTACATGAAAATGACAGGCTGGAGTGTTTGATTAGGGTTGGAGCCAAACTGTGCAGGCCAGTGACCCTCCTGGACTGGAGTCGTATAGTCCTACTCTACATAATTATCTCTACATATGCTTTACATATTTATTGTGTTGTCATATACATTTATATAATATACAGAGGCAATTCAAAATCAAAATAAATATTTAAACCCACCCAACAGACAGTGCAGTCAAGCACAAACATTTGCAAATTGGAAAAAATAAATATGTATAATTAAAAAATAGATTATTTACATATAGACACTTACATATACATACATACATATATATATATATATATATATATATAT